GTTTCCCCATCGGGATCCGTATTCGGTTTCCCCATTGGGACCCGTATTCGGTTTTCCCATCGGGATCCGTATTCGGTTTCCCCATCGGGATCCGTATTCGGTTTTCCCATCGGGATCCGTATTCGGTTTCCCCATTGGGACCCGTATTCAGTTTTCCCATCGGGATCCGTATTCGGTTTCCCCATTGGGACCCGTATTCAGTTTTCCCATCGGGATCCGTATTCGGTTTTCCCATCGGGATCCGTATTCGGTTTCCCCATCGGGATCCGTATTCGGTTTCCCCATCGGGATCCGTATTCGGTTTCCCCATTGGGATCCGTATTCGGTTTTCCCATCGGGATCCGTATTCGGTTTCCCCATCGGGATCCGTCTACGGAATCCCCATCGGGATCCGTATCCGGTTTCCCCATTGGGACCCGTATTTGGTTTTCCCATCGGGATTCGTATTTGGTTTCCCCATCGGGATCCGTATTCGGTTTCCCCGTGGGGATCCGTATTCGGTTTTCCCATCCGGATCCGTATTCGGTTTCCCCATCGGGATCCGTATTCGGTTTCCCCATTGGGACCCGTATTCGGTTATCCCATCGGGATCCGTATTCGGTTTCCCCATTGGGACCCGTATTCAGTTTTCCCATCGGGATCCGTATTCGGTTTTCCCATCGGGATCCGTATTCGGTTTTCCCATCGGGATCCGTATTCGGTTTCCCCATCGCGATCTGTCTACGGAATCCCCATCGGGATCCGTATTCGGTTTCCCCATTGGGACCCGTATTCGGTTTTCCCATCGGGATTCGTATTTGGTTTCCCCATCGGGATCCGTATTCGGTTACCCCGTCGGGATCCGTCTACGGAATCCCCATCGGGATCCGTATTCGGTTTCCCCATCGGGATCCGTATTCGGTTTCCCCGTCGGGATCCGTCTACGGAATCCCCATCGGGATCCGTATTCGGTTTCCCCATTGGGACCCGTATTCGGTTTTCCCATCGGGATCCGTATTCGGTTTCCCCATCGGGCTCCGTTTACGGAACCCGTCATCGGGCTTGTAGCTTTTAGTAAAAAAATACACTGACTAACCTGCAAAGAGATCTGGCTGCAAACTCCCCGCCCGGGATCCAGCTTCGGATTCCCTACCGGGATTCGGCTGGGACTGGTACCGGTACACTTTCCTAAAAAAAAAAATAATTACATTACATTAAATTAATAAATTCACATTTACTTACCAGAAAAACATTGCATCGCCACCAAAACTCGCGACGGACACATTATTGGCACTTTCCCGGGCTAATTCGTAAACAAATCAAACTTTTCCCACTGCGAAAAAAAACTGTACACGGCCAATGAGATCAACGCAAATTTGAGTACAGTGTACTCAATATCGAACAAAGTGCAGGATGAGTAAATTTGCCGCATGTTTTCCTGTGGAAAACCTCAAAAATCTGCCCTAAAATAAGGAAAATTTACGAGAATCCAGAGAATCCAATCTTTGCTTTTCTCATATTCGGAACATGAGGGAAATTAATTCAAAACTGAGTTCCTGCACTTTTTGCGATTTATGAGTGAACTAACCTCAAATTAGGGTCGTTCTCATTCGCCGTGTAGTGCTGACTCAGGACAAAACAAACTTTGCATGCGGCGAGAGACCGAGGGACAACAATTTACATCGTGATGAATTTTGATTCTAATGTAACGTTTGGTTCTGTTGTCATTGGATGTATTCTGATGTTTTATGCGTGCAACAAATTACATCGTGATGAAGTTTGATTCTAATGTAACGTTAGGTTCTGTTGTCATTGGATGTATTCTGATGTTTTATGCGTGCAACAAATTACATCGTGATGAAGTTTGATTCTAATGTAACGTTAGGTTCTGTTGTCATTGGATGTATTCTGATGTTTTATGCGTGCAACAAATTACATCGTGATGAAGTTTGATTCTAATGTAACGTTAGGTTCTGTTGTCATTGGATGTATTCTGATGTTTTATGCGTGCAACAAATTACATCGTGATGATGTTTGATTCTAATGTAACGTTAGGTTCTGTTGTCATTGGATGTATTCTGATGTTTTATGCGTGCAACAAATTACATCGTGATGAAGTTTGATTCTAATGTAACGTTAGGTTCTGTTGTCATTGGATGTATTCTGATGTTTTATGCGTGCAACAAATTACATCGTGATGATGTTTGATTCTAATGTAACGTTAGGTTCTGTTGTCATTGGATGTATTCTGATGTCAAATTTTACATCGTCAAGACGTTTGATTCTGATGTAACGTTTGAGGCTAATGTATTTTTATGTACTTGGACGTCACACTGAAGTCTGAATACATTAAGGTTACAGCAATACACGTTAAAATTTAATGTATTGAAGATGTCTGCTGATGTTTCCTACATTACAATTTCTATTCGGGCTACTAAGCACAACCCGCGCTTTACCTCTTTTCTGAACGAGTTTAGACAAAAAATGGAATATTTCTGTCAAAGATGACTTGCAAATTTATTCACCTTTCCATACGTACCGTTGGATTTGATAAAGAGTCACAAATTGTTGAGATATTGTCTAAAATCTAACACTGCTTCTTGATTCTAAATTCGTTCTACGAGTTTCAATTCCGTCCAAACGCATTGAAACGCCATTAGATTTTCTTCGTCCTACGGATAAACGTAGAAAAGGGGATTCGCTAGGAGCGCTTCTTTTGTTTTGAGAACAATGAGCGTAAATATTCATACAATGCACTCTAACAGGATGTATGTTGTAGCTAATGAACTAACGCATCGGAACAAACCTATTATTGATTTGTGCACGGTGAAATCATTGATATTATTGATCTTTTCTGATCGATAGAACGGAAATGGGCGATTACGACGAAGTAGCGCTCTACCCTACTCGTGAAATTCGTTCACCTAATTGACAAATCCATGTTTCAATCGACCACCGTGACGCTGCAATCGCAGCGGTGATAAGTCCGAAATAATGTGTCAAACAGAATACATTTTTGAAATTTCCACCAAAAAACTATTATTTTCTATTCATTCTAGCGAGTTTCTGTGGAAGTCAAAACATGATCCGAGCAAAAAAGTAGTAATCGTAATAATAGTATATAATGCTGAATTTTATCGTGCTTTGTTTCGAAAATATCTTCCAAATAAACAAACATCATCCAAATCACCCGATGCGTCCATCGACTAAATCCATTGCCACTTAAAAATTAATTTCAGTCGGTGTATTAAAAAGCACATTAAAACGTTTTTCGTCTGGTGCTACACCGAGCAATCGGCCTATTTAATAGTTTTTCGTCGATTGATTTAGTCGGCCAACTTTGTCTGCTGTTTAATCGGCAGATGATTTCAAACCTCAACATGTTTTCAGTGATTTATAAGTCTTGAAGTAGCTTTTTATTTAAGAACAATGCATTACAAAATAGTTTTATGCATTTTGTACAAGATTCATACATGCTGACAACAAATTTTCATGAAATTACATTGAAATTAAATAATTTGGCAAACAATCAATGAAATTTTCAAGGGCTGTCACAGACTTATCACCGTCGGTTAGTGCTTATTCCTGCCACCAGGCGCGCAGGAGTTTAAGTTGGATTTCTCAATTAGGTGAACGAATTTCACGAGTAAAAGTTCAAGTTTTTAAAAATATATATAATTTTTATCCGCCAGTGTTTTGTGAGTCTGGTGCGCCGCTAGAAGAGGCTAATCCAGCCATCGGTGAAGTGCTAGGCATCGGGGACTGTATACCGCAGGGAGCCTGAAGCCTTCAAGAAGCCAACCTACGTCCTCGGTGAAGTGCCGGTAAGACTGCGTGTCCGGTGTACCGCAAGGAGCCTGAAGCCTTCCAGAGGCTAATCGATGCCATCGGCGAAGTGAAGTGAGCCGCTAAAAAAACCAGCGCGCCAAGGAGGACACGTCGGACGAATCCACCGATGTCTGCCAGCCGTCCAATACATCACCCATGAATGGGTACTGTGCCAGGTGACGATTAATCCCCTTCCTAACCCTAGATTCCTTCCCTTCCAAATTAAAATTAAAAAAAATCATGAACTTAAAAAAAAACAATGGATACACAAAATTAAATTAAGCTCAGTTTTCAGTCCATTATTTAAACCACGCATTCCCTATTTCCTCTATCACTCTTGTTCTTCACCTTGAATAGTTTTTGGGAAGTATTTCCGCACAATTCCTCTCTGGAGCAGGTTAAACGACCCTGAATCCCAGGATAAAGCCTGGAGAGGGACAAAAAGAAGTCCCCAGACAAAAGACAATTCTAACATCATACAACGTTGCTGTGATACTCGGAAGTGAAAGATTATCATTGTAAAAAAAAGGGTTAGCCCTGTTGAAACTGGGTCTTGGAGGCGGAGAGACTGTGGAAGGTTTTCCAATCTCCTGCCTTAACGCATTGACCTGAGTAGCCAGCGATTTGATGAGACTACCGATGTCTACCGATGTTTAGGAATGAGGTGACGTGGTTACTTGAATACCTCTTGCCGCTTTGTCTGATAATCCATCCGATTCCGAATCAGTTTCCCCGGCTGGCTGTGGGAAAGAAGTTATCCTATGACCAAAAATATTACGAAATTAACCGTAGGGTTTTATGAAATTCTTCGTTGTTCTCTGGGTTTTCAGCTCCCAAGCTGCGTGATTTTTAATGACCCAGATGCAATAAACGCGCTTTGCAAAATTATATTTGACCTCTAGATGTGGAGCTGAGATTTGCCCGAGTTCATAAACTCATGACCCTCTCCTTCGTTATTCAGGATCTGCTTCAACCTGCGTCAACGTTTACACCGTGATTCATCGTCACCGATTACGATGTTACGAAGGAGCAGCTGATAATCGAGATGGTCAACACGCATGCCGCGGTAGAGTGCACCGAAATCCTTGAGCCTAGCTTGATTCTACCTGATAATCCGAGGTTGTTATTTGTTTTGCGTAGGGTGAGGGAATTCTTTCTGAGAAAGTCACTTAAGGCTTCCTACTCGTGTTCGGACTAGTGTTCGTTTAATCTCCAATAAGTTCCAGTGTTTTTGTAAAATATCACTTGCTTGCGCTCCGGTAACTAACATCGATTCATAAATTATTTAATATTAATTAATAAGTTAATGAACAATTTGCTGCTTATTTGCTACACCTATCCTAGAAATAGACAATTGAGATAGATATCCATGGATAGCGTTAGAGGGGATGGAGAGCTGCTTCAGAGCCCAGGGCTCAAGCAACGCTGTGAATGGTACTGACAGAGAGCGAGCTTAGTTATACTCAGCGACATCGGCTTCTCAACCCAACATCAGCAAGTTTGCAACTATGGCGGACAGTATTAGAGTGGCGATTCGACAGTTCAACGCAACAGGCGCGGCAGATCCGTAATGGTCCGAATCGGGAATGTTTCGCGTTTTGTTCATCATCCAGTAGAAGGCTTCCATCTTCTGTTTGCGCTTGAGTTCATCACCCACCAGCTGCCGGATGCGGGCGTTGTACTCGTTGATCCATTTGATCTGAAAAGACGGTAGATACATAGGTTTTATGGGTTTGGGGAGATGGATGGTAACGGCTAAGGTACCTCCGGTGCACTCAGCAGTGAACGATCGATCATTTTGGGTTCAAAAGGTACCAAAGTGATGTCCTGGAATGAGAGGAATTTGTTGCCCGAGGGATGAACGTTTCCGGTGTCTTGCACTTCCAAGACGTTCTCTAGCCGTATTCCGAACTCTCCTCTCTTGTAGTAGCCTGGTTCTGGAAAAAGCGTGGTTGGTCAAGGTATTGGGCCCATTTGGATGTTGTTCAACTCACCGTTCGAAAAGAAGTATCCGTCCTTGAAACTGTAGCGTTGTTTTGTCGTGTAAGCCACGCTGATTGGAGCTGTAACAAAGCGTCTAATTGGTTATCTGGAATTCCAAATACATGATCGAACTTACATTCATGTACGGAAAGATATGATCCAATGCCGTGTCCGGTTCCATGAGGATAGTCATTCATATCTCCCCACACTGGTCCCCTCGCCAAGGCATCAAGTTCGGCTGGTTTGAGATTTTCCGGGAACGTCAGTACCGATAGTCGTATCATACCGATGAGAACATTCGTATAAGCCCGGACCTGCTCCGGCGATGGTTCCCCGAGGTGAATCGTCCGGCTGACATCGGTGGTTCCATCATGGTACTGGCCACCGGAATCAATCAGCAGCGTCCCATACTCGGTGATTTCAAAGTCCGTTCGATTGGTGGGCGTGTAATGCGGGCTGGCACTGTGAGATCCAAAAGCGACAATAGTCCTGAAGGAAGGACCTTCCGAAAGATCCTGAATCTTGCGCCGACGGTCCACCTCCCGCGCAAGGGACAGCTCCGTGAAGTGATCGCCGGCTATGAACTGATACAAAGACAACCATTAGAATCTATCAGAATAGCAGATTAAAAGACATTTTTTAAATTACCCGCTCTTCTAGATAGCTCAAGACTTCGCACATGGCGACTCCGTCACGGATGTGAGCCTTCTTCATGCCCTGTTTTTCGATCTCGTTTTTCTGTGCTCGTAGAAAGATGATCGGTGAAGGTCTGTCCAAGATCAGTTCTCGAGGGACAACTGAGTGGATTGCTTCTGAAGCTCCCATATCGAAGACCACTGCCGATGGAACGAGAATGCGCTTCCAGTGTTGGGACAAGGTCCTCAAGTCTCGCAGCACATCTTGGTATTCTTTGATTCTGAATAAAAGGACAAGGACAGTTGAATGGAAACTTGATCAATTGCGTTTGACGCTACTTACTGAACGCAGTATTCGTTATGGCAACTGTGAGACTTGAGATGATTCATTAGACCCATATTTTTGTGAGTTTTGTTGGTGTACAGAATGATCTCCCGATTGCTGACCAAGAGGTACGCTTTGAAAACCGGAGTGTACGGAATATCGCTACCCCGTAGATTCAGAATATAGGCGACTTCAGTAAGGGACGTAACGATTACGGCTTCACATCTCATGGCAGTTAAATTGGACCGAAGTTTGTTTACTTTGCTTTCCCAGTGTTCTCCGGCAAATCGTACCGGTTGAACCTTGATGGAGTTAGATTTGGGTGCAGGCCGCCGCGATCCCCATACCAGGTCAACCAAGTTGCGATGAATCTTAATCAATTTGATGAATTCGGAGTTGAGCTGACGTTCCAGATTAACCCATAGGGAATGTGGAACCAGCTGAGGATCGGCGCCTACCCGCGATTCTGGAGCAAGTTCACTCTGTAATGGTAAGTAAAATTGATCGTTGTATTCAAACGTTCCAAAAGAATGGACGCTTACCGAAATCCACTCGGAGATCGTGGGATGTTCTCCGCGGCGGAAGATCCTCCAATCACAATTGAGCTCGTGATCAGCCTGTTCGTAGAATCTTGCGTCCACCCATAGGGCTGCTGATTTGAGGGTTATAACGGCTTCACCCGTAGATCCGGAAAACCCGGTTAAGAACTTCAATCGCTCGTCCGATTCCATCAATTGGTCGGACATGTGTTCATCGTAAGACGTCACAAGATACGCATCCAGCTCAGTGCTCTGGGTCGATGCCCTGGTGCGCATCTCGTTACGCAGTGCCGTTAGCTGTTGGTGTAACGCTTTGTCGTGACCATCGTAAACCTGTGGGAGTAAAGACAGAACAAAGATCCTCGTTTGAACAATGATCGAACCAAATGAATCATCTTTGGTGTGTGGCGCTTTGGTGTTACCTGTATACGATCTCGATTTAGACATTTGGCTCTTCGCATCGATGCACCTCCCTGTTGTTGGCTAATGGCGGCTGTGATCGTTGGGATCGTTGCCAAAAGCGTTGACGCTGAAAATGAGAAAAGCGGGCTCCATTAGTCATCGGTTGCGATCGATCAGCTGGCGGTGATAATCATCTTCAGTACATCGGAGCGTGATCTTTCAGATGCAATGTTTACAAACAGTGCGGCAATATAAAAATAGTTGCGTGATTTTTTGCATTGCAATAAGTCGTACATCGCCATTAATCCGAGAGAAAAAACGTAAAGCACGTGCCATGCCTAGCAACGCCGATTGCTTTGATTGGTTGGTGTGAAGTCACCCGTCGTGTGGCATGGAAGCTGATCGTGAATTTTAAAGATGATCGTCAAAGGGGATTATCAACGGTAGAACAAAGAGAAAATCAAGTCAAGTTGGTACACCCCTCGTCTAAACGAATCATATAAATCACGCCAAATGCAATAAAACGAACATACATATAGAGAAATCTGTTCTAAGATCAATGTCACGGTGCATCGTTGGAATTTGGCGTATTTGCTGAATATAAATATTAATGCACGTCATGTTAGTGAGGATTTTGCTACACACACGGCGACACGGCGAATCGTTGGCGGTGTCATTGGATTCACCATGTGTTTATTTTCGCTCATCGGCTTCGCTGTGCAATATTTTGTAACGTTGCGACCGATGAAGCATGATCGCATAACATTGTCGATTGCATTCCGTTGTTGGTGCGCGGCAATCAAAACAACTAGGTGACAACAAGCAAAATGGTCTACTAATTTAAACGTTTCTGGTCGATTAAGTTGAATTCTACGCAGAAGTGCTAAAAGTGAGGTTACTCTGTGAGTGAGTAAAATTTTCCTCTATTTTCCAGGAAAACTTATTGGACATGAGGAAAATCTAGCGATATCAAGTTTAACATTGCATTAGGACCTGGGATTCTCTTCGTCAACTTTCTCTTTGTATCCCCACGGCCATGTTAAGACATTCTCAGGTAGTTTCAGCACACGTATCGATAAAAGAAGCTTTTATCCAGCACATAATACGACAAACACAACAAAAAACAGTTATGTGCTCAAGTTATTAACGGAAGAGAAAGTCGGCGAAGAGAATCGATCAATGTTACTTAGGACCTAATGTAATGTTCAGCTTAATATTTCACTCATTCTACTAGTACGTGAACTTAGACTATATTCAGTGATGGAAAAGTTCGCGAAAACTCACTGTGACTCGCAAATTTTTCCCTTGGTGAACTTCGTGGAATATCGCGAACTTTTCCAACACTGACTAAATTACAACTAAACTGAAATCAATATGAATTTACATTAGATTATCAAAGCGCATAAGGCGAGCATAATTAGTACGGTGGAATTGCTATGTAGAGGCGGCAAAATTAACGATTATTTGCAATTTGATTATCGTTGGTTGGTGTCTGATAAACAAATTGATTGCCAGTTTTCATCAATAGAGATTGGTGACGTTTAACGCACGCACACTAACGGAGGTCTATCGCCATGTAAAGTTGTTTATTGTTTTCCTCGGGCTAACCTCAAAATGTATGTAATTCCATCTGTCAAAATGAATTTGACAGCAGTTTTTCACGTATTTTCCTCAGATTTTCACTACCACAGTTTCACACAGTGCACCAATACAACCAGGCGTGAAAATTTCTATTGCATATGCGCATACAGTGTCGCGCACTGGAATTAGGACACCGTGCTGGGTGGTGGAAATCAACGACGGAAAACGGTGATTGATCAATCCATTCAAGACACGTTTTAGCGGACACACGTATCGTAAAACAGGGCACGTCGTGACGGGAAGCATTGATCGTATCGATTTCACGTGTCCTTTTCGGTCGTTCGCGTTCGTGTAGAAGTATCACGACGTGACGGGAAGGATTATATCGATCAAATTTCGTGGTGCTGTTTACGTTTCGGTTCGCGTAGAAACGGCTCGTCACGTCGGGATGGAGCGCAATCGTTACGAATTAAGCGTGTCGTTTCCGTTTTCGCGCGTAGTTCGAGTGACGAGAAAGATGGCAAACAAAGCGGATAAGAAGCTGGAAGCCAACATCCCAAGTAACATTGCAAGCTTTATCGAGGTTTTAAAGCATGCTACAAGTGTAAATCATGGTCTCCAGAGCCGTCATAAAACCAAAATTGTTACTTGGGATCCTGATCCTCAAGCGAGTGTTGGCAATACGAGATGTGGTGGAAAAGTTCGTGCAGGAATACAAGCATGAGCGGGACGCCAATCAAGTATCGGTTCGGTTGGAAACTTTGGAGAAGGTCAACAAGGAGTTCCAGCACGTCCAAGGGGAAGTTGAGAAGATAGACGTCGATCACATCGATGATCACATCGAGGTGCACACCGAATTCTAAAATCGGTACTGCGTACTCAAGGGATTTCTGCTCTCCAAGATGGACAACGGCCAGCCTCGAATTAATTCGATCTATCGATGATTCATAGCAACGACGACATACCGATCGCTGCAATCTTTGGAGGGAGAAGCAAAGAAGCCGTTTGAAAGCGTGGACAGTCAGGCGGACATCATGACATCAAACGATCCCAGAGGAAGGAGTTATTTCGAGGAGTATTTGAGTTCCATCAATGAAGCGTGAGTCAACGCAGGAGCTAAACACTTTGGGAGACGAACGGCACGTGAAAGCTTTGGAAAAGCTCGACGCATCTACGTTACGTTTCTGGGAAGAAGAAACCCGTCAGAAGGAAGATGTGAAGTATAAAGAGTTGATTGAATTCCTCATCCAGCAAGTTCGAATGCTGAAATCGGTTTCAAGCGATCTGCAGCATCGTTCTCAAGCGGCTATCAACAAGGTGGTCGGTCCAATTCAGAACAAACTCTCCACATTCAAGTCCGATGTCAACGTTGCTACAAGTGAAGTTAAATCACTCCACATTGCCCTGCTTGTTCCGTAGAACCTGCCAAGCCAGACATCACACCATGCTGCACGATCAAGCAGCTCCGAAGAAAACAAACTCTGTCATACCGTCGAATTCTTCTATGCAACAACCAACTCCATCCATGTCAGTGAACGAGGGGACTTCTGGATCAGCGCATCCACCGGAAGTTAGCATGACTATCCAATCGAACCACATCACGGTCTTACTAGAAACGGTTGTTGTAATCGTCGTTGACCAACACGGCAAGGAGTTCACTGTTAGGGCTCTCCTGGATTCTGCATCGATGTACAATTTCAGCAGCAAGCGGCTAGCAAACGCTCTTGCCACTCAGCGTACCACCGTGAACGCCGCTGTATCCGGACTAGAAGAATCCGATAGGCAGATCAAACGCCAAATCACGGCTACGATCAAATCGAGAACAAACGTTTTTTCCACCACATTCGAATTTCTCGTTATGAAGAAAACATCTGCAAATCTTCTTACAATCGCCATCAACACAGCTGCGTGGAACGTATCAAACGTTTCACTGGCTGATCCGCACTTTAACGTTACGGGCATGATAGATATCATCATCGGTGGGGAATGCTACCACGAAATCCACACCGGTAACGGTTTTTCAATCGGTGACGGCCTACCATTGCTGGTCGAAACACACTTCTGATGGACAGTTTCTGGGAAAACATCCATCAATTCCGCTGTCGCACCACCAGCTTGCTACATGTCAACTGTCGCCAACACCTCCACTAGAACTCACGACGGAAGGTACGTAATACGCCTTCCTCGGTCCGCAAGTCATTCTCGGATAATCAAGAGAAATCGCCACACGCCGCTTCTACAGCCTGGAGCGCCGCTTTGAAAGAGATCCTACCTTGAAGAAAGCCTTCCACGACTTCATCGAAGAGTATCTCCGTCTCGATCACATGCGCAAGCTCAATTCTGTTGACGACGAAGTTCCACATTGCTATCTGCCACATCATCCGGTGTCCAAGGAGAATAGCACCACCACAAAGATACACGTGGTGTTCAACGCATCCTATAAGACATCCTTCGTGTTGATATGGTATAAACCAGACAATTTCCTCGTCTTTATTTTTAACAGTGCATACGTTGGCAGATAGAAAGGAGGGAGAAAGGTGAGCTTTTGTTTAAGAGCTGAGAGGTCGGTAGCGATCAGCGTTAAGCAAACCCCACACGCATCAATATATTGACGCGAAGGGGAATTATTGACAATAATATTGATGATGTGAATTCAGAAATATTGTCAATCTCGATGTATTGACGTCAATATAGAATGTATTGACAATACGATTATTGTCAATAAAAGCAATCGTGTAGGGTTCACTTTAGAAGAGAACTTTCGCTTGGCAGTAGATAAGAAGAGTTAGCAATCACTAGTTCACCAGGTTGCTTGGCAGTTAGGACGAAGAGGAGAAACATTGTAAAATTATGATGGGCATACCCAGCCAGCTGCAAAAGGAAAGCGCAGCAAGAAGAGGAAGAAGAATCGGAGCCAGTCCGGTTGCACGATTTCTCGCGACGATGCCACTGCGACAAACGGCAGTGATGTCGGAGATTTCGGTGACGTTGCCGACACAAGCACGGCAAAAGTAAAACTACCTCCGTTGGTAGTAAAAATGCCCATCTTAACGATCTCATCGCAGATCTGGCGTTGCTGGGCGTTAAAGCCAAATTCATGTTGGGCAGAGTCGGCACCAAGGTTATGCTCCGTACGAAAGCGGAGTATGACTTGGTCGTTGCCCACCTGAGGACTACCAAGGTGGAATTTTTCACCCACGACATTCCCGGCGAGAAACCATTCAAGGTCGTCATCAGGAGTCTACCGAATTTTGACCCGAAGTTGATTGAAGTGGAAATCAAGAACCGTAACAAGCTGGCCCCAACTGCCGTCTTCCGAATGACAACGAGGGACGAGAACGTCAAGAGGTATCCGGATTGTCTTTTCCTGGTGCATTTCCAGAAGGGAACGGTGACGCTCAATGCGTTGAAGGCTATCCGCTCCATCAACTCCATCATTGTCCGATGGGAGCCATACCGTGGCGGCCGTCACGACGTCACCCAGTGTCAACGTTGCCTAAATTTCGGGTACGGCACCCGAAACTGCTTCGTCAAGCCGCGCTGTGG